CTAATTCATAAGCCCTAAACCCTAGCTAATCTTGTGTGTCTTTTCCTAACTATGAAGGCTCTACTTCAGGACCACCGCTGTTGCTCTCCTACTCATTCTTTTAAATAGCCACACTTAAGCCCCAAACCCCATMTCACTTCTTTGWACCATTGAACCCTAAACCCCTATTTTTTAATCTCTATCCTCCTGCTCCCTGTTTATCTTGTTTCTGTACCTACCCTGCCCCTAAACCCTAGACCGCCTTAATCTATTTTTCCATCTATTCCCTGTGAAGATTCTGCTGTCGCCTGCCATAAGTGCTTCTCGGATGTTCATCTAGGCCCAGATTGGAAAAGGATCTTCGTGTACCTGAGTGTTCATCGGCCGAAAGACTTGACAGAGTTGTGCCACTCTTTCCATCTTAAGGCGTGMCCATTTAGCCAGGCCAATTTGTCATCAACCAACCATACCCGTCTGAATTTGGCAARAGTTTCCATTTTGTGACGCAGTTCGACAAGGACAAGCATGCAGCCTGTTTCCWGAATTCTTCTTGAAAYGGAGTTGTGCCACTCCTACCTCCCGATAGAATCGTTCCTCTTCTCAGCAACCCTCCCCCCTGCCAACCGAGTCGTGATGGAGTTGTCTCTAGCCTTCTTCCGCTGCTCTTCGCCATCTGTCCCTGTTCTCTTGGTCCTCTTCCATCTGCGTAGAAATTCTGCCCGTATCAGAACCTTAGTCTCTGCCTAGGCTTTCTCCCGTGGGTTTGCGGTCTCCTCAATCTTTCTGCTGCATCTTGCCTTCCAAATGACTCAAGGGAAGTCTTGCTGATGAACTCAACCCGGATCCTATAATGTTTTTTGAGGCCACTTAGGGATGCCCAACAAAGGGGAAGTTAATTTACCTCTCTTTCCTTTGTCCCTCCACCCTTTCTGTTCCCTGGCTTCCTCCTCCCTCCTCTCTCCATTTGAAGCGAAGCTGTGCACCTCTGGGCTCTGCTACCTTCCCCTGACCCAACGTTTTCTGTTTAAATTTTTTGATTATTTCCTCCTCTTGCCCAGGTTGTTGCCTAGCTTGCTGTCTCACCCTTTTCCACTGTGCGTTGAGATGTGATTCCACTGTGTGGAGGAGCAGCTCTCTAGCTTCCTCCCTATGAGTTAGTGTTCCTTCCATAGTTGCCTGACATCTCCTCTTCCAAATGGTCCACAGTCCATATTGTCTAAGCAGTTGAAAGGTGTGCCTCTGGTAGGGTTGTCATCCTTTAGGAACCCCGATCCCCAAAAGCATGGTAATCTTTGACTCTGGAAAGGCTATCGTCGCTACCTGTTYCCAAATCCCCCTAACTTGTTCCCACAATACTTCTGCCTCCTTACATTCTAGCAGACAATGCACCAATGTTTCCGGAAGCCCTTCTTGGCACACCTTGCAGAGCTCCGCTTCCTCGTTTCTCTGATTGTGACTTCTTTCGTTGAGCCACACATTCACTGGTAGTGCCACGTGCGCTATTAGCCATTGCATACTTATAACCTGACCCAGTCTAATAGATAGGAAGTTAGACCACGGTATGTCGGGCATTAGGCTCCTAGGGATCCCTACTTTCTTCTCCCAGCGTTTGGTCAGTGTGTGTCCCATGGACCTGGATCTGTTCCTCAGTCTGTACCCTGATTTTTTGGTATATTGGAGAATGTTGAATCTTCTTGCTACTCTTGATTGCCCATTTCTAATGTTCCAAGCCCATTCTCCAGGGTCTACCATCAGCATCAGTCCCGTTCCTATTCCCCCGGCAAGTCAGAAAAATATTACATCATGAAACACACTCACGCTTCCTTCCATATGGCTGAAGGACCCCTGGCCAGCATTGATTGCTCCCTTGATGGAGGATTGACTGTCAGCTTGCCCTAACAACTTGCTCCTCTCAGGTTCCCCTCTTAGGCCTGTCAAAAAGATCTACTCAAAACGAGAGAAAGTGGTAGGATCTGCCTCCAGTCACTAATCTGAATCTCCTTCCTTTCCAAAGTTCCCGCGTGATATCCTTGTTGCTCGGCATAGGACGTTGTTGTCTGTATCGGGACTACTCCATTGATCGCAAGGTAACTTGGTTTTCTCCTGGCACCTTGTGAGTTGTGCCAGTCCTTCCACTGGACATCGGAGATCTCTATCTCTGCGACTTTCCTTCAATCAGCCAGATCTTAGTAAAACCCAATTGTTCTGTGCTCTGTTACTCGTCCTCGTCTGGTATCGAGAGTCTTGCCTTATCCATCCTTATCCAAAAGCCATCCTGACCCCTGTCCTAAATTTCTCTACCCTCTCTGAGAACTCCTTAAACCCCTAATCCCTAAACCCTCCATTACTATCCTGCTCTATGGGACCCTTACTTTCGTCTTATTCCCCCCTCTTGGATGTCTGATCATGGGATGTCTTGTCCATCCGCAGTTATCTGCTGTTGGTGAATCCTTCCTGGGGTTGTGCCACTCTTTCCAGCAGATGCAGTCTTCTCATAACTCTGCAATCTTGCCGTTTATCAACCAGTTCTTGCTGAAGGTCCTTCTAACCTTCTTTCGTTGTTCCTCGTCCTCCGTCCATGACTGCTTGGTCTTCCTCCATCTGCAGAGGATTTCGGCTTGTATCATCGTTTTCGTCTCCACCCAAACTTTCTCGTGTGGGTTGGACAGTCCTTCAATCGTTCTGCTGCATCTTTCTTTCCATATGACCCATAATGTAACCTTTCTGATGAGTCCAAACCAGATTTTTTCCGCCTTCCGGAGCTGTTGAGGGATGTTAGTCAAGAGGAGAAGTTGGATGGGATGTTCGAGGAAGGGGGTTGGGAATAGGGAGTTCCAGAGTGCCGATGCTCTTGCCCAGTAATCTGTCGCCTCTCTGCAATGTACTAGGCAGTGAACTATGTCCTCTACCGTCCCTTCATTACAAACCACGCACAAGTCTGAGCTGTTGGGATCTGAACTCTTATGCCTCGTGTGTAGTCATTGGTTCACTGGTAATGCCGCGTAGGCGATTAGCCATTGTAAGCTTCTGATTTTGATTGGCCTGATGAGCTTGAACTTTTTCCATTGGATCCGTGTGAGATTGTCTGCCTTTTGGCCCAGTAGATTGTGCCATCTTTTTTTAATGATAGGGTCGGGGTCTTTGGTTTTCAGTGACAGTTTGTATCCTAGTTTAACTGTATACTCTTGAATTGGGGTTTGGGATTTGATGTTCTTAGTCTTGTCCGGCATCCATGCCCATTTAGTTGGGTCAAACTCCAGGTTGTGGATTGTTGTGTCTGGTCTAAAGATTGACTTGGGCCAAGAGCCAAGGACCCTTATCTTCCTGAGTAGGAAGGAGTCCAAGACGACAGACTCCACATTGTTATTCAGGATAGTCAGTGTATTGGTAGCAGTTGTGGAGATTGGGAAGGAGAGGAAGGTGGCCTTGGTGTGTGAATCTCGTGCATGTGGGAAAATTGGAAGGCTCTCGAGGGAATCATTCTTGTATCTTAAGTCCCCATTCTCCGGGTTTCCATGGGACGGCTTCCGTCAAGATATCTTTCCATTCCTGTGGAATGAGGCTGACAATGTACCAGAGATTGGGTCCTCGCTTGGGCATCCTTTCAGTTGGGAACTAATTTCCTATTCTGTCTTCCATTCTTTTCTGTCCTCATTCCATACGTGGGCGACTTTCCATATGCCATTTTTGACCCATGAGAGCCACCTGTGTTCCAAGAAAAGGGGGTTATCGCCCTCATTTGTCACCCATTGATTTCCGAAGAGCGGTTGCCTTATCCTTAGATCTAGGTCTGTTGGACTTGTTAGGGATTATTTTTCTCCAGATTTGAAGAAGCGACGTCCAGTGTGGAGTATCAAGCCTATGGCTTTCTAGACTGGCGTCCCATGTTCGATTCCTTCTGCCCGTGGCTATGGTCCAATCTTTATTCATTACCCAGAACAGTCCTGACATATCCTCTGGTGAGGGCACTGGGGCTAGTGATCTGATACTATCCGAGGCTAGTTTATGCCATGCGCTGTCTGGGTTCATCAGAAGCTTGATAATCCAATTCATTTGCAAGGCTTTAGTTGCTGTTCTGGGGTCTATAATCCCTAGACCTCCCTTTAGCGGGCTCCTCGTGACATAGTGCCATGCGACTTTAGATATGTTGTTCTCTTTGTTGGGGTCTCCTGACCATAGGTATAGCCTGGCTTTTCAGTTCAGTTCTTTAATGGAATTATCCAGGATAGTCCAGATGCAGGCTAAGTACCACATCATTGAGAAGACCGAAGTATTAAAGACCAGGGCTCGTCCAATGAGGGACGTGAAGGCATTGCCCCATCTTCCTAATTTGTTGATTTGTTTAGTCAGCATGTTCTGGCCCATTTGGGGGGCTAGCCCTTCTCTTGTAATGAGTACACCAAGGTACCGGGTGGGGGTGTCTGGCGTCTCCCAGGTCATAGCTGCTTCCTCTCCTTGTAATAGTAGGGGGTCCTCATCTGATAGCCACCATCCTATTGTCTTCCCCCAATTGATCGTCATTTCTTAGGCCAATCTGAAGCTTCCATTGCTTTCGCCAAGGTTCTGAACGACGAGTCAGTAGCTCTAATCAAGACAGTTAGGTCGTCCACAAACATGATAGCTGTGGGGAAATCTATTTGGTGAGCTGAGCCTATGTTGGCGTTAGCGAGTCTTTGGATTGATGGGTCCTTGCATAGGAATGATGCGATAGCTTCCATTACGAACAAGAAGATTGATGGGGCCAATGGATCTCCTTGTCGGACTGAGCGGGAGATCGGGTAGTAGTCTGACAGAAGGTCGTTGACTTGGACACAGCCCGTTGCATCTTTGTATAGTATTGGGCTCCATTTTTTGAAATTTGGTCCAACTCCCATTTTTTCATGCTAGCTTCCATGAAATCCCAGTTAACTTGGTCATAGGCCTTTTTAAAGTCGAAGAAACGTATTGCAGCATTTATTTTCCTCTCTCTAATCTTCCTTACTGCCTCATTTAGTGTCAGTACGTTATCTAGGATGTATCGACCGGGGATGAAGCCTGTCTGATCGATGTGGAAGCATTTATTTGTGATTTGGGTGAGTCGGTTGGAGAGGGCTTTAGCCAGGATTTTATATGGAAGTGTTAGGAGTGAGATTGGTCTATAGTTTTTAATGTCTTCTTTGTTGCCTTTTTATATAGTGTGATCACACTGCTGCTGAGTAGGTTGTCGAGCCCCCCCTTAGTCCAGCTGTCGTTGTAATAGTTTAGCAGGTCCAGCCCTAGAAGGGGCCATAATTTTTCCCAAAATTCTTTTGTTAGTCCGTCGATCCTAGAGGTCTTACCATTATTCATGCCTAGTAAGGCTTGGTGTAGCTCCTCAATCGTAATCGGTTTGTCTAGTGCCTCGGCTTGTTCGGGTGTTATTGTTTGTTCCAAATATTGAAGCATTTTTTGTCTTGCCTCTCTTGTGTTGGGAGGTGCCGGTGTGGGGGTCTTAGAGTGATAAAGGTCCTTGTAGAAGTTTTTGGCTATCTCTAACATCCCTTTGTTGTCTGATGTCACCGTCTCCGAGGCCATTGTAGGTCTCAAGCCTTCTATTGTGTTAGCTCTCGAGTTGGCCTTAATTCGGGCAAAAAAATGTTTTGTCATTGAATCACTGAGCTCGTATTCACACATTTTGGCTCTTGTTTGTAGGCCTTTTAAATCCCACCACCTCCAAATCATGAGTTCCTCTCGTGCCTTCTCAAAGATGTCATTGTACAATGGCGAGGAGGGGTTGTTTGTCAAGTTAGTTTCAGCCAATTTTAAAGCAAATTCTAGAGATTGTCTCCTTTGCTTCCTTATGGACGCGAGTTTCTAGATATTCTGGCCGCAGTGATTGAGAGGGTAGAGTAGCTTTTCTTGAACCAGTCCCACTGGGACTCGGTACTCAAGCGTGCAGACCTCTGTCCCATCCAGCAGTCAATTACCTCCTTTTGGAAGGTTTGGCTGAGTAGCAGGGAGTTGTTGAGCTTGTGGAAGCTGGCACCCTTTTTGACCACTTGGTCAAAGCACAGAACTAGCCTTGTATAAGAGGCCAGAGATAGTACCTCCGCACCCTTGACTGCCCCCATCATTATTTTTGACACCAAGAAATAATCAATTCGTGAGAAGGCCGTGTGATGTGCATGATTTTTCTTGACCAGGGTGAATGTTTTTTTGGTAGGGTGTAGGGTTCTGTATGGTTCTACTAGATTGTGGTCCAACATCAATTCTTGAATTGGTATTGCTTCTGTTGAATTGACATTGTTGGAGGGCCGCGATATACGGTCTGTTATCGGATCCATAGTGGCATTCCAGTTGCCCACCACGATACAAGGGGTCAATGGTGGGATCAAATTCCTAAAATTTGTCAGAAATGTCGTTCTCTCCGTCGTCGAATTTGGTGCATATATGTTAATCAATATGAATTCCTCTTCTTTCCATTTAAGGTGTAGTAGGCACCATCTTCCTTCAGCCAGATCCGCTTTCTTGTCTAGAATTGAGCCTGCTTTATATAGACGGGAGGATTTGGGAATCAGGATTGCGGTCCCATTGGAGCTTGTGGAGGGGTCTGCTGACCATATTTCGTCTTTTAAGCCTCCTAGTTTCCTTGCCAGGAATGAGCGGACTCTGTCATGTTCTATCGAGAAGGTGATATGAGTTTCTTGGAGTAGCAAGATATCTACTACTTTTCTGTTCTCCATTGTTAATCTTGACAGTAAATCGTTCATCTTTTTCTCTCTTCCCACTATATTCCCAAGTCCATTGACATTCCTGCTTCTAATGACAAGCCCTTGAGTTCTCCAATCAATGCAATCCCCTGCCTCGTTGGCCCTTAGTCTATAGCTCTCCATGTCTGTCGTTGTACCGGGTCAGGGGGATTGGTTGGTAGGGGGGTTTCGGGGGGGGGGGGGGGGGGGGGGGGGGGGGGGCTTCCATGCTCGCACCCTCTCCGATTACCTTCTGATCGGTCTTCGGTCCATTGTCCTCTAATGGGGAGAGAGAGCGAGCTCTTCCAGTAGCTGATCCGTCTAGCTCCGTCTTTTTACTACCGTCATTTTCCAACTCGGGGGACAGGTCCAGCTTTTCCCTTTCATCCCCATCCATGATTCGCAGTCTGAAGCGTCACTTCTGTAGAATCTTTCACAATCAGTAGCGTATGCATTTGCGTCCACATCCTCGTCCCCCTCCAACAGCCCTGTTGTGACAATATGGGCAACGGTTGTGGCCAACAACTCCGGTGATACCCCTACGTCTGCCAGAATGCTGTAGGGAACCTCATTCACCGTTCTCCAAGGTTTCCAGATCATCCCGGATCTGAGTTTTGCAGATTCTGGTATCTTTGCAACTAGAGCTGAGAAGGCCCTTGGGGAGTTCCTGTTGCATTCACCCGTGCTCTTCTGGCCGCTCTCTGGGTCCTCTTGCATGGAGGTGTCAACCTGCCCCCCCTCCATAGCAACAGTCTCAAATACCCCAGTTGGGTTTCCATCGTAATTTGTTCTTTCAGGACTTTGACAACATTCGCTCCTTCCACAAAGTGGGGGATTTTGAAGGATATGTCTGTTGCGATCTGCCATTCCTTTGCCTTTTCCACATATCTGGCTGCAATGAGTAGCTTGATGTTTCTCAGGGTTCTACGGGCTGCTTTGGCCGACTCGGTCACCATTGGGGCTTTCCCATTTGTTATCTGTCTGATGGTGTTCCATTTTTTCAGTTTTTTTGCCACTTCCTTTTCGAGGAGAACGCGTTTTGATTTCTCTTCAATTGCTTCTTGTTCGTCACTGGAATCCTTTCGTTTTTTATTCTTGCCTACTTTCCTTACCTTGGGTCGCAGGGATGGTTTTGTCCTTGTCCTATGTTCCCTGGTCCCTTGCTCTTTTCTTTTCCGCATATCTGAAAGCTGCGTATTCAGAAAATTCCTCTGCCTTTTCCCTTTTGAGCATTTCATACTGATTAGAGGAATTGTTGATCCCCGCAATGGCCTCCTTCCTACCATTCACCTGAGGCCTTTCTGCGTGTTTCAGGCAGGCTACCCGGACATCGAAAGCGTGTTCCCGTTCCCTTTTTGCCTTTTCCACATATTCCCTGAGCCAGGCCAATGATTGCCTGGATCGATCATCCTCGTCTGTGGAACCAGCGTCTGGTGTGCTGCTCCTCCCTTCTAGTTCCCCATCCGCCTTGCTCCCCGTCATATCCAAATCCATTGTTTCCTCTTCTTTTGATCCTTCTGTCATTTTCACTTCCTTCCCTTCTTCAGACTCCCCTGCTTTCCTTCTCTTTGAGCCCATCTCCTTCTCCAAATGTCTACAAAACCCATGTAAAGATCGCTTGTTATCAAGCTGCGTTTTATCCTTCCTATTGTATGTCTGCAGTTCTGCTTGTTTTAGTGCCTCCCTGAAGATCATTGGTTCCTTGTATTCTTGCTCAATTTGTTCCCTTATAGTGTCTAGATCACACAACAAATCTTCCCTTGCTTTCTCTTCTCTGATTACCCGCGAATCCGTGATGGGATTGGTGTTGATTTTCGTCGGGTTCCCTTTTACTTTCCCTGTTGCTTTCTTTTGCCATCTGCTGTCTGCTGGGGGGAAAATGTCTGGGTTTTTGATGGATGGTGTCTGATCCGCGAAATGCCACACCCAGTAGGGCTCATCCAGATTATCATCAAAGACCCACCCATCGTAGCATGAGTCTGCTACGAACCATATTCCAGGCGCATCTTCCACCTCCACCAGCATGTTTGGCGGTAGCTTCCGTTCTTCCGATTGTTTTGGGAACTTTGGGCAGGTAGGATCCGTTCCCAGGTGACCCCGCTCTTTGCAGCGGAAACAGATGGGTGAGGTTTTGGTTGATATCCTTACCTCTATCTGCCTGTTTTCTATTTGGAATTTCCAGGTCGGTGGGAAAACTGGAGGGTCATCTGTTTGCACGTCAAGGATCGTTGTCATGGTTCCGCAGTGTGGGGCCAAAAATTCAGGCGTCGGTAGAATCCATTTCAGGATCTTGTTCGCTGTATACTCTCTAAAGTCTGTCGACCAACATACCGTGAAAACCGGGCTGAATGTTGTCAAACTGGACCCATAAGTTCTCCTTCAGCAGAGTTTGTTTGTAGGAGACTGCGAATACTGGGTTTTCTCTTTGGACAAATAGCTTTTTCCATCTAGTGATGGTGCAAACTGATACATGACGGTTTCTAGATTGCATTTCGGCTGCAAACCGTGCATGGTCCTCATGGATAAAGATTACCATGATGTTATTCCGTCCCAAGCTCTGCAATGAATAGGTGTCCCCAATCAGAGTTTCGGTTCCTTTCTGATCGTGTCAATTATCCATTTCCTCTTCTCTGTTGGCTGGAGATCTGCGCCGTGGAATGCGAAGTTGAAAACTACTCCATGTTTTTCATGCAGATCGTCCATTTCGGCGATCTTTTCTTCTGGGTATTTCCAGATGATCACCTCCTCTTCCTTGCCATCAATTATCTGTTTTCGGTAGATTCGATTCCTTGAACCTTCGTCTTTTCTATCAAAAATTTGAGGGCTTCGTTATCGATAACATTAACTGCTTTCTCCAGTACTGTCTGAACATTCGGGCCTGTGCCTTGAGTTAAATTTGCGATCTTTCAATGTGCTTAGCCCAACCATCTCTCGCTATCACTGTCTTGTCGGAAAGGTCGGGAGAGAGGATAGTAAGTATCGCAGAATGATCTTACTAAGGCCGTCGTTAAAGGGATGGGTCTGTTTGGAGGGGGTAGGGATAGAGGGGTGAGAGCGTCCTGGGGACATTGCGTGGGGTCAGGATTAGAGTGGGTGGGTACTGGGGTGGGATAGGATCAGGGTCGGGTGAGAGTCGAGGCGGGTCGTGAATAGGGGTGAGGTGGGAAAGGGTGGAAATCGAGGTGGGATGGGGTCGAGATGGGTCGGGATCGAGTGGGAGTAGATGTGGACTAGGATTGGGATCGGGAGGGATTGTAGCGAGTTGGGGTCGTGGTTGGGTGGGAGTCAGAGTGGGAACATGTAGGAGTTCGAAATGGGCCGGGATCGGGATCGGGAGGGAATCAAGACGGATCGGGATCGGGGGCAAGGTGGGGGCAAGTGGGAGTCGAAATGGGTCGGGAAAGAAGTGGGTCGGGATCGGGGGCGAAGAGGGGGCGGGTGGGAGTTGAGGTGAGTTGGGATAGACGCGGGTCAGGGTCGGGGGGAGTCGAAAGGTGTTGGGATAGGGATCAGGTGGGAGTCGAAGTGGGTTGGGATCAGGATCCGAAGGGAGTCAGAATGGGATCGGGAAGAAGTCGAGATGGGTTGGGATCGGGTTCGGGGGGAATCGAAGTGGGTCGGGATCGGGGGCGAAGTGGGGGCGGGTGGGAGTTTAGGAGAGTTAGGATCGAAGCGGGTCAGGGTCGGGGGGGGAGTCGAAAGGTGTTGGGATTGGGATCGGGTGGGAGTCGAAGTGGGTTGGGATCAAGATCTAAAGGGAGTCGAAGTGGGAACGGGAAGAAGTCGAGATGGGTATAGGATCAGGTTCGGGGGGGAATTGAAGTGGGTCGGGATCGGGGGCGAAGTAAGGGCGGGTGGGGATCGAGGTGAATTGGGGTCGCGGCGGGTCAGGATCGGGGGCGAGGTGGGAGGAGGTGGGAGTCGAAGTGAGTCGGGATCGAGTTTGGTCGGGGTGGGGGGGCAGAGCGAGCGCGGGCGTGGGTTGAAATGAGTTAGGATCGAGGTGGGTCGGGATCGGGTGGGACCCGAAGTGGGTTGGGATTGGGATCGGGTAGGAGTCGAAATGGGCTGGGATCGGGACCGGCAGGGAATCGAGATGGGTTGGGATCGGGGGCGAAGTGAGGGCGGGTGGGAATCGAGGTGATTGGGATCGAGGCGGGTCGGGATCGGGGGCGAGGGGGGGGGGCGGGTGGGAGTCGACGTGAGTTGGGATCGAAGTGGGTCGGGNGGGGGAGTCGACGTGAGTTGGGATCGAAGTGGGTCGGGATGGGGCGGAAGTGGGAGTGGGTGCGAGTCAAGGTGAGTTAGGATCGAAGTGGGACAGGGTCGGGTGGGAGTAGAAGTGGGTTGGGATTGGGATCGTGGGGGGAGCCGAAGTGGGCTGGGGTCGGAGTCGACGACGAGGAGGGACGGAGTAGAGATGGGATCGGGTGGAAGTTGAAATAGGTCAGGATCGGGAGTCGCAGAGTGGGGGGGGAAAACGGGTGAGAGTCCAAGTGGTTGGGGATCGGGATCGAGTGGGAGTCGAAGCGGGTCAGGATCGGGTGGGAGTGGGTAGGGATTAGGGTCGGGATGAAGTGGGTTGGGGTCCGGATCGAAGGCGAAGTGGGTTGGAGTAGGAATCGGGTGGGAGTCGAAATGGGTGGAGTCGGGGTCGGGAGCAAGATCGGGATTTGGATGGGACGGGGATGGGATCAGGGCGGGAACAAACTAGAAGCAGGGTGGGATGAGGGTGGGAGGGGTCGGACTAGGATCGGGGAAAGGATAGGTTGGAATTGGGATTGAGGTCATGATCGGTAGGGTGGGACCGAGGGATCGGGAGGGGGTTGGGATCGAGATCAGGACTAGGATGGGGAAGAGGTGGGATCGGGGTGGGGGCGGTGTAGAGCCGTGATGGGGTCGCGATGAGAAGAGGTTTGGAGAGGTTGGGATCGGGATGAGGTCGGGTCGGGCGCAGGATTACGGTCGGGATTGGGGTCGGAATTAGGGTGAGGTCGAGGTGTAATCGGATTGGGATCGGGGTCGGGGTCGGAATTCGGATGTGGACGAGCTGGGATCCGGTTGATGGGGTCGGGGTGGTGTCAGCGTGGGATTGGGCTGGGAGGGATCGGGTGTTGGGAGAAAGGGGGGGACGTTGGTGTTATTATCCGGCTTATGGTCAAGGAATGAGTTGATGCGGGGGCGCTAGGGGGAAGGATAGGCGGGATGTCGGTCGGAGGAGAGACTATAGGATATGGCGATGGAGGTAGTGAGCCCTTGCTCGTGACAAGGAGTGATGGTTGAGGAGGGGGGGGAGTATGGTCAGCCGCCTAGGTGGATAGGGGGTGTCAGATCTCACGAATGTCGTGTGTTGAAGATGCAGACTTCCACTCAATCTCGTAGATTAGTCGTCCAGAGGCGTCTTTGCAGTAATTTACGGGCATTCGTACATTGTCGATGACGCTTGATCGAATCTTGATAACTCTGGACACATTCTCACTGCACGCGCACGTGGCACTACCCGTCGCGCCAATATGGCTATGGCGGACCACAATGCCGACTTCGAGGAAGGTCCGTGATCTCCTGAAAGGGTATTGTTGTTCTTCACGATAAAGTTCGCCTCTTCATTCGGCGCCGACGAGGAACCTGAGCGAGTGACCGTTCGCGCGCGCGCCCAAGGCGCGAGCGCGAAGCTCTACGTGTTAAGCCAGTGGAGCTATGGCTTTACTGGTCGAGGCTTCGCGATGGCA